GCTCAAAGTCTTTTCAGAATTAAAGGAGACTTGCCTTCTACAACCACCATTAACCTGTGCTTTAAGCTGAGGGCCTGTGAGCCACCTATTACATACGCTGTGGACTCTGAGACATCATCTGATGTTGTTGTGGTTCTGAGTCTGCCACACCTCTTCTCATCAGTTTCCACCAGTTTCTGAATGCATTGTGATGGCGAAGGAAACTGAATTCTCAGACACCTAGGCTTTCAGTTTTGGGTAACCACTCTGTTAATTCATCACTTTTGTACCCTTTAAACTGTTCATTGGGCTTGATCTGCTTGAATATCAACTAAAAAAAAGAGCTAATTCTAAAACTTCTGAGACGATTTTGTCAGTTCAGAGGGAGTGTGAAGTAAGCTTAACTGATTGGATGACGACTGCCCTAACCACTCAACCACAGCCATCCAACAATTTTATTTATTTATTTAATGACCACTTAAACATGCTTGGCTGACAGTGTTTTATTTAAATATTTTAGAGTCTTCTTGGGACAGTGACATGGCAGCCCTGTTACTGTTGGTGTACCTCCTGCCTCCACCAACCATTGGGAAGAAGAGGGGTGTGAAGATCACTGTTCGAGAAGCTCTGAGCCATGTTGTCCGGTTTCACAAAGTAAGTGGCCCCAACCTTGAGTGTAGTGTGTTTATAGTGAAGTTGGAACGTTGTTGTCTGATTTATTTATTTTTCTCTCCTCCAGTCATGCCGCAACCTTCAAGAGACCACAACCTCAGTCCAGGGAAGGCAACCCTACATTTTAGCGGTTGGAACATCACGTCGCACCATCAATGACTACTACATTGTCGTGGATAGTCAACTCATTCCTTGTAAGGCTAAGTCTTCAATTTCAGCCTTTGACGAACTTTTCAAAGCACATTATGTGTTTGGCATTTCTTACGATCAGGCCCTGCACAATATGTACACATTTGTACAGACCACCATTTACAATATTGATGTGGGTCTGTGTCATGAAAGCCCAAGGGTGAAAGATCTCAGAGCAAAGCTCCTCAACTGATTGAACTAAGATGCTCCGATGTTTTGTTTGCAAGTGCACTTTTTGCTCTGTCAGAGATTTGGTTCGACATCTTAAGTTCTCTCATGGCTTTTACCCTGGTTTGAAGTTTAAACTGTTATGTGACCAAGATGGATGTTGCCAGAGATTTTGCACATTTTCAGGCTTTCGAAAACATATTACTAACAAGCACAGAGCTTTTATTGAGGATAAGTTTGAAGTAACACCATCTAATGCATCAGTAGAGCAGTCGTTTGAGATTTCTTCTGAAGAGCCTCCTTGTTCTTCTGAAGAGCCTCCTTGTTCTTCTGAAGAGCCTCCTTGTTCTTCTGGAGAGCCTCCTTGTTC